TTAGAAGTCCTTCCTGTTCAGGTGTCATAAAATGTTCGGTTATGCATATAGTATCGATCCGTTTTTTACTGTTTTCTAGTTCTTCTAAGTACACAATAAGCGTGTCACTTTTAGTCAAGAGCCCAGCAATATTTTGATGAAGGATATGTATACTGTTATAAACGAAAAAAGTTGGGGCTTACTTCCTGGCTTGAATAATGTTCGTCATCATTAGGAATCGTTAAAATCTCGCCACATTCTTGTCTGTTGTTAGAATTCATCTGTCTACTTGTCTGACAATATAAGAGTAAATCAATCTTGATATTACTCATAACATTGTCATATATATTTTTGATTCCGTATTTATTGATTCTGCCCGTAGTGTAAGAAAACATCTCATATGTTAGATTACGATTGCTGTCGAAGATGTATGCGTATTTATAGTTTTGATTATCTAGGTGAAGGAGGTTGTTAAACATCTCAACCTTGAAGTTATATATGGGTGATGCCATTTTATATGTAGGAAGACAAATTACTACATTGGTGTTTGTAACTTTTCGAAGGGACTCATTTATTAAGTTTATTAAGTTAATGTAGTTGTTTTCATTTGTGATGATTTGGTTTTCTCCAATAAAAATCAGACAGTAGTCATTTAGTGTGAACCCCTTTAATTTTTCATCGATGTTACTTAATAATTGTTTTATGGTACTGTTAGGCATTATGTAATGGCAGTAATCGAAGTACTCGGCGAAAACTTCCTCTATGGAGGACAAAGAACGGTTGTATTTGTTACTACTCAAGATACATAGTTTATTCTTATCTTTTTGTTTAGATATTTGAACCTTCGGTACTGCAGGATTGGTAGGTGGTGTAGCATCAGGTAATCTTTTATCTAAGTGATTTGTCTGGTAACCATTGGTAGTCTGATTTCCTTTGTTGAGTTTGATGGTAGCGAAGTCAGGTAAAATGATTCGAGCTTCACGTCTATTGGGCAGGTCGCCTGCAGAATTAACTTGACGTGACAACTTACTTTTACGTTTTGGTGTTGTATCCTTTTTTTCAGGCGTTGAGCATATTTTCTTGTAGGTATTTACGGTCGTAATCATATTTTGTAAGTCTGTTTTAAGGCGCTGGTTTTCTATGTTTAAATTGTCGATTTCTTAACAATTGCTGTTTAATTGATTTTATTTCATTAGTTAACTTACGAATTTCGTCGGTGGTGTCATGGAAACTATCCGGAACACTCATTATCGTAGTATCTTACATAGTATTGTCGCTGCTAATTGTTGTCAGTTTAGACAGGTCGGTTAACGAGCTTGTTCTACAAGGTTTATTACGGTACGTTATGTTACTGCTGTTGAAGTCCATTTTTATTTGAAGTTGTCGTGGTGGACTTTGCTGTGACGTTATATACTTGTTGTACTGTTGGTGACTTTCTATAGAATAGTGAACTTAATCTTGCAGAAATTAAGAGAGTAGAATTATGAAAGTTTTTCAAATCACAAAAAGACTAATTTTGGCAGGGTTCGATCTTGCGTTCGCTTGTTTGATATATTGATGCCACACTTGGCGCCGCTGATCCAAACATGCATTGACTACATGAAGTGAAATTAAGCATTACATTGGAAAGATGGAGTATTTGAACGAACGAGAACGGTTAGAAATGACTCATCTAATTGGAATTTTTTGCAATGTCGAACACTTAGGTCACTATGTTAATGACTTAAATACTATGTAATTATACACTTTTTTGTCTTATTTGTTGGTTATTGGTCACTGGTCACTGAGTTGTTTTGTCAAAGGTTTCGTAGATCACCATGCAAAGTTTTGTTATAATTTGGATTTTTTTATTGTCCATTTTTATACAAATTTTTTCAGTGTTTCGCGTTCACTATAGATTTTGTAGTTTTATTGCACAATCTATTGACACTGTGTATTTTTTTAATTATATAGTTGTACGACGTTGTTTCTTTCTGAACATTGTACTTAGGTCACGAAATTGTTTCACTTTTAAAGTTTCAATTGTACTGTATATAATGAGTCACTAACACTTGATGATCACTTTCAGGTATCAATTTACTGAAAAATTACTTTTATAGACGTTAAAACGAAGATTTACTATTTTTAAAGCACATCAAAATACGGAGCTAATGTTTACGCTACAGCTAGCGCCATCTGTCTGTAAATGTGTTTGTTGTAATAAACATAGAAACAGTACTTCTTGTTGTGTCAAAATTTTTAATAATTGTATGACCAAACCTAGCACTAATATCCACACAAGAGCTAGCCAAACGAATTGAATTGAATTGAACTGGCCAAACGTGAATATGATACAGAAAGTACTGATTCCAATGTAAGTACTCCAAGATGTAATCTTAAGTTATTGTAATAATATAATCTATTGGTTCTATTTTTATTTTGATAATATGTTTAATTTAATTCTGGGTTCTTTAATTTCATTTTGGTTTGTTTACTATTTCTAATTTTTATGATAATCTAACTATATAATATAATTTAGGAAAAATTTGTAAACTCAATTTCTAATCTTAATTTTATCTTACATGGATTATACTCACATCCTTTTCTATTTCCGGATGTTTCGTTTTAAAGGGGGGAGGTGTTACATCTCTAATTTTGATGATATTGCATAGGAATGCAATACAATATTGCTGACTTGCAATAATAGCAAAATGACGTAAATTTAACATTGCAGATCAGCAATAAATACACTATAAATACCAATCCTTTTCTTAAATTAGTCAGTTATTATTCTCTAGTGCTGATATAATTTGTGGTCTCTGACTACTCCCCAACCTTGGTTGATTTTCAGCAAGGAATTCTAGAGCAATAATATACTCCGGGTCTATTCTGCCCTTCGCTGGGGCCAATAAAAACGCGTATAATCCGTGTTAAGTGGTGTTGTATAAGTTTGTGTCTATATTAAGTTGCCAAAAGTTGTGTAGAGTTATAAAATAAATAATTGTGATAGTCAGTTTGTTTTTTTTTAAAAGTGCGGGACTGTCCAATCTAACAGTACGAATGTATGCATAACTATATACTACACTGTCGATGCTTAACTTTGGAGCGAGTCACCTCCTATAAATACCTAGGGCTAGTGGTGGATGACACATTGACATGGGACCTACACGTAACCAACGTTTGTAATAAACTTCATCCCATCTTAGGTAAATTAAACAAACTTACAATATGTTATCAGTAGAAAATTAATGTATACGTTGTATTATGCCTTGGCTGATGCAAGCATCGAGTACGGTTTGGGTGCATATGGACTCACATTTGATACACATTTGAATAGAAGATACAATTTGCAGATAAGGTTGCCAAAATTACTTATTGATAGAAAAACAAAACAAGGCGTAAAAAACGCTTACTGTAAACTATTTAAAATTTGTAAGTTACTTCCGGTCCACCTTAAACTCAAGTTAAACATCTTAGTTACACAATATAACAACCAAGAGCACAAAATACAACGTGAAAATATGTACCCAACCCGTCTAGCCAAAAAGAGGAAACTTGTCGTTCCGAAGATCACGAACTACTTCGGTAAACGAACAAGAAGCTATATGGTACCGTTTCTACTCAATGAATTGCCTTCAGATTTTGTAAAACAGGTACAGACAAAATTTCAATTTAAAAATAAACTCCACAAACATTATCTCTCGTTATGTTCATAACAAATAGCTAATACCCGCATTACCCGTTTCATTACTTTTGAGACATAGTCTACTAGTGTACGGGTACTTGACACAATAATTGGAAATGTTAACTTTTGTATTAAAATACCTGAACAAATCTTTTGTTCAGGGGTTCAAGCGTAAACAGAGTAAGGGTTTACTAGTAGTAAAACAACCAAATTCCATTTACGGTGTTAACCGAGTATATTTAAAGTAACACAGTATCAGGGTTATAATAAACATTCAGAAAATCTTAATACCGCCATGTAGACGTGTACACAAATTGAATAGCGCCATCTAGTGACGGTAATGCAAATTACAAAAGATAAAACTTACGTACAATAACCTGCTTGTACATTCCGCCCACCAAGGACAAAATGCAACATGTCCTTCAACCAAAAGGTTAATATCACCGCCCACCGTGGCAATGTGTTTATAGGCTAAGGTGTACATGAATAAAAAAACAGTATAAGACCGTAAAACAAGAAACAAAAACAACAAAAGTAAAATTAACAATATTTAAAATTAATGATAAACTTTTTTTACTCTGCTATTGGTAAAATACATAATTTGGTAACTGGTCTTTTTAATGTGGCATTCCGTACCTTTAAAGTGACGACTCTGACAAGATTATCCAACCCAGGATGGGTGTCAATCACTCTGCCATACATCCAACGACAAGGGGGTAAACCATCTTCCTTCACAATGACTGCATCTCCTATTCGTCACCCGAATCCGACCCGAAGAAATATTGAAGTTGTGTTTTACAACTGATAAAATAAAAAGATTGTTGTATGGTGACCGAATAGATCCGAAATGTTTTTTTGTCTTTTTTTACTAAATTCTGGGTGAAATCGGCATAATCCCCGTACCTTCGTTTTTTATAAAATTAATCTAAGTCTTAACTAAAGTATGCACAAACTAAAGATAAAAGTAGCAAGGAAATAAAGTCCAAATTAGCTAAGCAAATGAAAAATATTTTAAAGTTAACACAGATATCAAAGTATTATGTTTCTTAGAAATAAAGTTCAAAATGTCCAAATTTCTTGATTAAACTCCAAAGTCAATATCACTGCACTATGTTAAAATCTTCTTAGTTATAAGGTTTAAAATAGAATCGAATAAGTACTCACAGTTTTTCTCACGAACACTTGATAGATATAAGTTACCGAAACGTCGTCACATGTCACGCTTCTTCGTCTGCAATAACTCCGCGATCCGTGTCACAGCTTCACTTCCCAACAACAGCACTTACCACGTGCCTCCAATCTAACTGCTGCTGATACACCATATAGATTCCGCTCATTTATAGAACCGCGTTCCTTTTTAACCCGCTTCCTCCTCAGACCTGACGGCCTGCAACTTCCTGGACAGGGGTACGCCACCCTTTGTCCACCTCAGACCTCTGCGAAGGTCTGCAACCTCCCACGTTTGCGACAGCAATCCACTGCCCGTGGGGAACCCCGAACAAAAATATACGCCCCACCAAAGGCGCCCTTCGAACTGACTAAAAGTCTAATCCGGCTCGAGGACCATGAACAAATCCTTTGTTCAGGGGTTCAAGCGTAAACAGAGTAAGGGTTTACTAGTAGTAAAACAACCAAATTCCATTTACGGTGTAAACCGAGTATATTTAAAGTAACACAGTATCAGGGTTATAATAAACATTCAGAAAATCTTAATACCGCCATGTAGACGTGTACACAAATTGAATAGCGCCATCTAGTGACGGTAATGCAAATTACAAAAGATAAAACTTACGTACAATAACCTGCTTGTACAATACCTACATTTATATTATTATGTATCCGTAAACGAGAACTACTGCCGAGAAACTGTTTTTACAGTTTTGGCAGACTTTAAGCATGAAAAAATATGTATTATAAATGTTTAATAAAGAGGAAGGCAGGCAGGCAGGAAGCTGTTGATTGCCGATCTGAGTTCATCACGGTTGACAACTTTGCGGTCCGTGTCCCAGTCTATATCGGTTGGTGTTTTTTCCCACTTGTCTTCTCATGTTTCCATCACATCTGTTATGCGACATCCACCTCTGCTACACAATATTTTTTTCACTCTGGTTGTTGTTTTCCATGTTGGTGCAGAAGTTTCTCCAGCACTCAGTTTTCCTGGTTCTGATTTGCTTCTTATATTGTTGCCTGGCCTGCGTATAGGCATGCCAGTGTTGGTCTAGTCGGGTGTTTCTTGCTTTATTGAACAACTTTCTCACTTTACGACGTAGTCTTATCAGTTCCAGTCCCCACCACTGGTGTCTGTTCTGTGGTCAAGTTCTGGTTGTAGAAAGTGGGGATGTTTGTTCAAGGGAATCGGTCATGTGGAATCGTTTCTTCAATTTTTCTTTCTAATGATTTCTGTCAGACCATACCTAGACTGTGGATTTTTGGACTTCAATACCAATTTAACAATTTACCTATCAGTTGACTCTCTTTGAGTCGTTGCAGTACAAAAATCTTCTCATCGCCGCTCTTATTCGGTTAGCATAACCTTGGCTCTTGAAGATTGATACGACTCTTACTCCCAAAATCTACGTATTAGCTCATTAAAGTCTGTGGCAGCTATAACATGGCAGCATACTGGCCTCGAAGCCAACGGTGACTTTTGGATTTTACCCGATAAAATCCATCCAAGTTTGGTATTTTGAGCGACGGCAGTGCACGGCGAACCCTTTTTTTACCTATGGAAACTTACTCGGGCCGTCACCCCACCGGGGTTTGCGGCGGAATGGACCGACTAAAACCACACGGTGTGCCACTCTGCGCCTGTAATACTACTCTGTCAAGAAAGTACCCACCACCTTCCCATGGCCCCACCGACTTCATGTCATATGGGCCGAATCGTGAGACGGCTGCGGGTATGGCACGTTGGCGTCACTACACCCGCAGGCGCTTCTTGATCTCTACAAGTTGTTTTTAACTAGTCCCTATCGAGCATTCTCCCCATTCTGGGGCTGCTTCTGGTCCGATCCCCTATCGGGCAACGGCACAATCACGCCTCCGTTCGCGCGCCCGCCAAGGTCCTGGGCCCGTACTTTTATTCCAGCCTACCCCTGATCTTAAACCATTTATGCGCAAAGTCTCTCAACCGCTGGTAGTTCCCCTTGGAGGACACCAGATCGCAGTAGTAGACCGGTCCCTCATCCGAACGCACGATCCCATCTATCATCTCCCCCCTTATCTCGTCGTACAGGTGGCAGCTCCACAAGACGTGGTGGAGATCCTCGTCCCCGGCTCCGCACAGACACGCACTGCACTCCCTTAGCTTCATGTCACACAGCCTTTTGTTGAAATACCCGTGCCCAGTTAGAATTTGCGAGACTTGATAGTCCGGCTCGACCCAAGTCGCCCCGAGGCGAGCCGCCACGTCCGGGAAAAATCGATGGAGCTCCCTACCCTTATCCTCCGCTGCCCATCTCTGTTGCCATTCGGCTACAGTCTCCTCCGAGATTTGTTTCCTCCTGGCCCTGAATTCGACCCCCGGCAGTCCCCGTACCTCGTCAACCCTACCAGCACGAGCAACCTCGAGGTCCGCCGGTAACACCCCCGCCAAAACTGGCATGGCCGCGGTACTCACTGACCTGTAGCATTTTGTCAATAGTATGAGAGCCGGTCTCTGCGCCCGAAGTAGTGCCGTCCTGACTACGTACACAGTGTGTCGCCGCCACCAACATCCCGCCGCATATGTGACCGTAGCCACAAAGGTGCCCTGGTAGAGAATTTTTAGGGCGCGATATCTAACCCCCCAGGATGATGCGGACACTCTGGCCATCTTGCCGAACCCCGCAGCAGCCCGCTCCCCTATCGACACCGCGTGTTCCCGAAAGGACCGACCCGCATCGATCACCACACCCAGAACTCTGGTCGATTGTACGCTTTTGACTGAGATCCCATCGAGTCTAACTGTGGGCGGCCTACCAACCAGTCCCCCCTTCATAGTCATAGTATATGATTTGGTAGGGGAGAAGGCCAGTCGGTTTCGCGACCCCCATTCGCTTATGGTACCCATGGCGCATGAGGCTGATGCCTCGATGCCGGCTCGCGATTCAGACTCAATGAGAATCGTAACATCATCCGCGTATGCGACCAGCTTTACTCCGTCTGGATACGGCAGCCGGAGCAGGTCGTCCATCAGGATGTTCCACAGTGTTGGCCCGAGCACCGACCCCTGCGGGCATCCCATTGTGGATTTCTTCCACAGGACCTCCTTCCCAAGAAACAGGCCCACACGTCTGTTCGTAAAGTAGGAGGCTAGCATCCTGTAGATGTTGGGCGGGCAGCCCCCCCCCTTAACCTTCAACAGGACCATCGGCCACCACGCGTTGTCAAAGGCCCCCGAGATGTCCAGGAATATTGCCTGTACGTACTTAGACCGGCTCTCAGACACTGACGTCAGTATCTCGTTTAACGCTGTTAGCGTCGACTTACCCCGAGAGAACCCGTGCTGCCCCGCCGAGATACCGCGCGAGATGGTAGGCGCGCATGCAAGCATAACCCGCTCAAGGGTCTTACCCAGGACCGAGAGTAGCGTTACGGGGCGATACGCTTTAGGATCGGACAGTGGCCTATCACCGCCCTTCGGCAAGATGATGAGCCGCCCGTCCTTCCACGCATCCGGAAAAACGCCCTCCGTAACGCACTTACCAAAAACTCGCGTTAGCTCGGAGCCAGCCACGTGCCACACATGTTTCAACATGCGGGCTGTAACTCCATCGATTCCCGGAGCCGTGTTAGGGAGATCCTTGACTATTTTCTCGACTTGTTGCAGCGATGGAGGAGGCGCATCCCGACCCGACGGCAGACAGGCTGCCGCTATTCGGACCTGGCGATGGTATACCGTATCTCGTCCCAAATCGTCATCTGGGCATAGAGCCCGCATTATACCCTTCATCGAGCTCTCCACGTCTAACGTACTGCTACCCATGAGTACTACCCCGTTAATTACGTTCGGTGGCGGGCGCACTCTGCCGCTCGCTGCTCTGTACGCTAGTCCCCATGGGTCGACGTTACCGGAATCCGCAAGTTCCCGGAAGAATTCGAGCTGCGCCCTCTCCATCGACTCTCTGTATATCCTACGCTTCGTGTGATATTCAACCTTGGCCTGTTGTTCCCAGTACCCCCCCCGTCTCTTAAGCCTTTGCCAAACCTTCCTTGCTTTATTATTACCCCTGCGTAGGGCCTCCAGAGCCGGAGACCACCATTCATATCCCCTTGTAGTCTTGCCCTCCCCGCGCGCGCCTAAGCACTCGACAGCCGCTCGCACCACCAAATCGGTGAAGCGTTTCGAGACTACCTCCGCCGGCTTACCCCAGTCTACTCGACCTACATGGTTACTAATCATGTTCCGAAATCGGTCCCAGTCCACCCCACGCTCCCGGTACCTCACCGGGGTTCCGGCCAGCGGTTCCGCAATAGGGGTAGGCCCCCCTAAATGTCTTCCAGGCAACTCGAAACAAATTAGGCGGTGATCGGACTCGATTGCGTCCTCCATCACTCGCCAATCCTCCGTCCTCACGCCCCGCGTCGAGATGGTGACATCAATGTTCGATTCCCCATTCTCAGAGGAGAATGTGTGCGGCTGTCCTGCCCTATTGTGTACCAGGAGGTCTCGGCTCAGGATCAGCGCCTCCATTTCTTCGCGTCGTCGACGGGCCTCCCGCCCTCTTCCTGACAGGTGCCGCTGGTCGGAGTGCCACATTGGTGAGTGAGCATTGGTGTCTACGCCTATCAGTACAGCTTCACCGCGCAGCACCTCCAGTACCCTCTCAAGGTGGTGAATGTGGACCGAGATATCTTCCGCGTATTGGAAATACGCACTCACCAAGTAGGCACCCCTACAGCCCCAAGTCATGTGGCACACCACGCAGTGGCTGGTGCACAGCGCCTCCAGGTATGCGCATCGCACGTCCAGTGCCGGTATGTAGATGCCTGCCTTAGATGTACCTCCTGCTGCGACAATGCTAACTGCATTGTCGACCTCCCCTCGCACCCCGTTGTAAGGCTCCTGGACGAGGACCACGTCAAGGCCATGGTCGCGCGCAACCCGTGGCAGCTCCCTGGTGGCCAGTGACGAACCCTGGAGGTTTACTTGGCCGATCCTCAATGTTCTCGTTCTATCCATAATTAATGCCCTCAATGGATCTGGCCTCTGCGTGCAGCCTCGCAGGGCATTCCCGGGCATTCGTCTTGTGCGTCGCCTGTTGCTTAAACTTTGTGCACGTGGCACATCTTGAAGACGTGGCCTGGCACTCCGCGCTCCTGTGACCGTCGTCCCCGCAGTTGCCGCAGGTCATGGTCTTCGCCCGGCAGTACTTTTCAGGGTGCCCAAAGAGCTGGCAACGATTGCAGCATGTGACCCCCACGTAATCCGTCACCTCTACCGCTTCCCAGCCCACGTAGATCCTTCCTTTTTCTATTAGTAGGCGTCGCAACCCGGGTGTGCAGGAGAAGACGCTAACGGTACGGTTGCCTCGCTTCCGGGTAAATAGCAGCTTCATTTCCGCCTTTAGTTTCTCAAGTGGCCATTGGGCCTCTTCCTCCAAGTTCTGTTCCTTAAGTTTGGAAAGGACTGCGTCAAAAGGCAGCCCCGTCTCCATTCCGGAGAGCGCCACCAGTGGCCTCCTCTCCCTAGGCTCGCCCACACGCAGGGATTGCGGCATTGCCTTTTTGAGGACCTCCGCCGCCTCCCTGGACGTGGTCTGGACGACCACACCCGCGTTTCCGACCTTTCTTACTCCCGCTATTTGCACACCCAGCTTTGAGGGGTCCACAGCTGACCTGAGCAGCCTTTTTGTGTCCTCGGCCGTTTTGACCTCCTCCCGGGACTCCTCCGACGGGTAAATGACCACCGCCGGACCCAGCCGCTTAGGGATCGGCATCGGGGCAGCTCCCTTACTTAATTTAAGGGCGTCGCTGTAGGACACGACCCCTGTTCTCTTGGCGTCGCTCCCGCTAGTCCGTGTCTCCAGTGATGATCCCACGGTGCTGCTCGAGGCCGCCTCCGCCGCAGCCAGTCGGATGGCCAGATGCGCAATCACGGCGCTGAGTCGCTCGGTGTGGGCCCCGATCGCTGCCACCTCATCCTTATTAAGACGCGATGTTTTTGACCTGACCGCCTCCATAATTCCTTTTGTCGCCGCCGTCGCCATCCCCGCCAGCCTCTGGGCCGGAACGTCCGCCAGGTCCACATCCACTGGGCCCTGTTCAGAAACGGCAATCCCCTGCGTAGCCCCCTGCACAGTTCTCTCCGCGCCAGACAGCGTCCCAGGCTCGGACGAGCATTCTGGTGACGTAGGCTGGGTCGGAATTGGGGCAGACAAAATACCCCCAACAGGCGGAACCGCCGGTCTGCGCGCCGCCTGTATTCGTCTCCTGACAGCCTCCTGCACCTCCTGGGGAGACGCCAGAGGCCTCTTACCAGAGGCCGTGGCCGCGGTAAGTTGCTGGTCCTGTTGAGGCGACGAGTGCCCGAAGTGACTCGGTGGGGTCCTTTGTAAGGACTGTCTCGGCCTAAATCCCGCCTCGGCGCTCATCTCCTCGAGCACTTTCATTTCTTCTTCCCGCGCCGATATCTGCTCTTCCAGCAGACGGCGGTAGTCCTCCTCCTCACCACTCATCGCTTCCCAACTCCAAAGGCTTCAGTGTGTGGTTGAAGGCACCGATGGTATAGACTTCAACGTACACACCTTTATGTACGGACGGTGTCCGAATACACGAACGAACAAATCGTCTATGAAGCTTACACAGCTTCGCTCCGCAGCGCACCCCGCGGCCGCACGCACACCAATGTGCCCGCTCGGGCGCACCAGCGCCACCAAGCGGTGGTTGCGCGGAAGCGTAGACCCTCACGTAACTATTATAAGCACCTCTTACACTAATTGTCAATGACCGCTCCTCAGCGCCTCCCGCGGCAAGTACACGCACTAATGTGCGCGCTCGGCCTCACCAGCGCCACCAAGCGGTGGTCGCGCGAACCCGTAGACCGTACGTAACTAGTGTAAGCGCCTCTGCCAGTTACCGCTCACCAGCGCCTCCCGCGGCAAGTACACGCACTAATGTGCGCGCTCGGCCGCACCAGCGCCACCAAGTGGCGGTCGCGCGGAATCGCAGACCCGCACGCAACCAGTATAAGCACCTCTGTCAATTACCACTCACCAGCGCCTCCCGCGGCAAGCACACGCACCAGCGCGTGCGCTCGGACGCACCAGCGCCACCAAGCGGTGATCACGCGAAATCGTAGACCCGCACGCAGCTAGTGAAAACGCCTCTGTCACTTACTGTCAGTTACCGCTCACCAGCGCCTCGCGCGGCAGGTAAACGCACCAAACAGCGCGCCCGGCCTCACTGTCGCCCTCCTGTGGCGATCACTCCAACCGACACCTGTCACCGTAAGTGTCACTGTCACTGCTGTCGATGTCACCAATACCAAACGTCACTTACACAAAAGTGTCACTGTCACTGGAGTCACTATCTCTTTCACAAAACAAGATGGCCCCCGCCTCTAATGGGCGAAGCCCTAAGAGAGAACGAGAGCAGCCGATAACTTACAAATCTGACGCACAAATCCAAAGTGTCACTTGAGTCACTATCTCTTTCACTTTTAATGATGGCCGCTGCCTTTAATGGCCACAGCCCCAGGATAGAGCGAGAGCGGCCGATTAATCACACCACGCGAACAGTTGGGTACAATTAAAATTAAAGTAATAAAATAAAATCACGCAGCGCACTTCAAAACACGTCCGTCCACGACGAGAGCAACGAACGAAGTGTCAAGAAAGTACCGGGAAAAGATCAATAAAGGTTTGTTATTCATCCAAATTTATTTTATCACCTTCAAAGTATGCTCCTTCAGAAACGATACACTTACGCCAACGAATAATCCAATCATCAAAACATTTTTTAAACGCTGTTTCCGGAATTGAGTTCAGTTGAGCCTTATGAGAAGAAAGGGCAAACAAACTCATGGCCACTCTTGCAATATACAGATAAATACAATGGCATCATTAAATATAACACAACATTGGTCCGATGTCATCCAGTATGTCCGTTAGTAAGGATTAAAAGGTAAAAAGACAACAAAGAGAAAAATTAGATTAGGAAAAAAGATCAAATATAACAGAAAGTAAAGTTAAACGTAAAAAAAAACACTCTAGCCCATATTACATTTCCACTTAAAAAATAGCCTGCGCTAAATTATTCCCAAGCATTTTTGTCTTCTATGTAATCCACAACCGAGTGGGGATTGAAATTTGTTAATACTTAAGTTTTGAATATTGTTTTGGATTTTATTAAAAAATCGGACACATTGACCTCGAAACGACTTGTTGAACTTTTGGAGCCTTGAGGCAGGTACTTCTATAAGTTTTAAGTTTATTTCTATTTCTGGTATTTATAGAATGTACATCACTTTTTTTCAAAAAGCTATCCTTGTTTTTATGAACATATATTGTTCAGGCCACGCCTAACTTACTACAGCTGGAAATCACAGTGCGCACTTAATGTGCAACAAATACATCAGGCGCATCATCGTGACGGTGTTTATAATTAGTTTATGTATCAAATAAATATATATAAATAGTACCGACAAGGGTCTCGACCACCCACTTTCTTCTTGTACTCGAAAGCTGTCGCTGGTCTTATACTAAAATTCACAAAATTACAATCAAGAAGTTTTATTATATGGAAGGTGTCTGCACAGACATAATTGGCGACCGTGACAGGACTGCATATAAAAAATCAGCATATTTATTCGTCGAGCAAAATTGCTGCGATTTATTCGGACCACACAAGGACGAAAGTCGTCGTGAGGATTGAGCAAGGCGAATTTGGATACAACTGAAGCATCGATACAGCTAAAGTATTATATATATATATAGTTGACGACAATTTGCTATTGACACGCCTTTGCCTAGACCTAATACACAATCATATAGGTGCGCTATCATTTTTTTTTTTATTGTTAACTCCTGAACATAATATCTAAAAAATAATCCTTTTTCTAAAGTAATTTACTAAAAATTCCAGGTTGTGTTAATCATCACGCTGCGCTGCCGCAGTACTGCGTAGCTACGTACCGACAGAGCGTGCGGTTAATATCCACTGCAAAACCAGTTTCTTATCAGATAGAATAGAACTGCCACATTGAGGAGCGAACGTGAGATTGTTTTGTTTGGTTGGATTTTTTATAGTTAATGTTGAATTTTATGCTTTGAATTCGGTTGATAAGGTTGAGTTATTCCGTTTTGTGTTCACTGAATATTTTTGTTACCTTTATTTAGTACGATAATAAAATACTTTGAGTCACACGACGAAATTTAGGCGCTAGTGAGCTAGATTGCTAAGATGTCTGAAGATAAAGCTCAGATCGCCAAGGAATTGCGTGAATTAGCTATTCGGCGTAGCTCAATTAAGGGTCAAATTACCAAGTTTAAAAATTATTTAGACAAAATATCACTATCGAGTTCCATGTCCAATGTGGAGATTGCAGAGTTAACTGTTAAGCTTGGTAAATTTGAACAATTGTCAATCAGATTCGATGAGTTGCAGAGTCGGATCGAGGTCATGAATAGCGACAATTTGGCATTTGAACTTGACGAACGGGAAAAAATCGAGGGCGAAATAGTAAGTGCGCTTGCCTTTGCGAAAGATTTAGTAGGTGATCGTTGCAAGCAGCAATGCAGCCATGATTTTAAATCTGAACGTCAAGATCCGGGTGTCAAGTTGCCCCGCATAGAAATTGCGAGATTTGACCTATTTCAAGTGGCTCGAGTTTAGGGATACGTTTTTGAGCTTGGTTGATGGCAATGTGCAGATTACCCCTGTTCACAAATTTCATTACCTGATTTCATACCTTGAAGGGGAAGCCGCGCGAATAATTTCGAACTTGGAGGTATCCTCTAATAATTATAAGGAGGCTTGGAAATTATTGCGTGACCGGTATGATAATAAAAGGTTGTTAATTAATCACCACTTAAATTCATTATTTAATTTTCAACAGTTTGGTAAGGAATCGGAACGATCGCTTAGATTTTTAGTTGATCACGTCACAAAAAATTTAAGAGCATTGTCGAGCTTGGGCCAACCCACTGAACATTGGGATACCCTCATAATCTTTAATTTAACATCAAAATTAGATAATCGTACACTTATAAAATGGGAGGAATACAGAAATAATTTTGAGAGTGTTCCAACGTTAGAAAATTTCAAAAAAATTCTCCTGGATCGTGCCGACGTACTCGAAGCTTTAAATAAGGGTAAAAATGAGAACAACATTCAAAAATCTAATCAGGTTCGTTTTAATTCAAATATACACACAAATAACCATAATAGTAAAGGTGGAAATTACATTAAATCATTTGCTAACATAAATAAGGAAAATTCAAAATCATTTTTATGCATAATATGTGATCAAAGTCACAAAATATATGACTGCCCTACATTTAAAAATAAAACACTAGAAGAACGATGGGCAGAAGTGTCAAGATATAAGCTCTGTTCTAATTGTCTCAGACAAGGACACCTTTCTAGTGCATGTGGTATTGGTCCATGTCCTGAGTGCAAGAAAAAACATAATCGTCTTTTGCATAAACCAAAGTCAGCGATAAATAATAATCATGTACACACAGACACAAATTGCAACACAATCAATGTTACTACTACAAACCATCAGTACAGTCGAGTGCTTTTATCCACCGCTTTAATAGAAGTACACAACCCCAGCGATATACTGGTGTATGAAACAGTGCGTGCCCTGTTAGATTGTGGTAGCCAAACTAGCTTTATAACAAAATCTCCAAAGGAAAAATTGTCACTTAAGTCAGTACCTATTACGAGTATTAATGTTATCGGCATTGGCAACCATTCTTTGAATACGGTGAAAGAAAGCTGCATCGCTCGACTGCAATCTATTAATAGTAAATTTAATGTTACACTCAATTTGCTTGTTATGAATGAGTTAACGGGTTACTTACCTAAGGAATCGATTGATATCAAACTAGAATTACCTAAATACGTTAAATTAGCTGATTCAAGGTTCTATAAACCTTCCAATGTCGATATTTTGATTGGCGCTGATCTCTTCTGGGATGTCCTGGGAGGTGAGCAACTTTCAGTTGGCCCCAGTCACGTGAAGTTACATAATTCTAAATTTGGCTGGTTAATAGCTGGTCCTATAAATACAAAGGATCTAAATAGCATACATTGCAATAATAGCATAATTAATAATGCTCAAAGGGCTCACAACGAGTCTCATATTGAAAACTTACTTACAAAATTCTGGGAGATTGAAGAGCTTCCGCGCAAACCCATCCTGAGTGAAAGGGAAAGGGTTTGTGAAAAACATTTTTTGCAAAATACTGTCCGTTTAGGTAATGAAATCGGGCGAAAAGGGCGAAATCCGCTCTCCGCCCGGAAGTCAGCCACTCGCCGATAAACTTCGGCGAGCACCTCCGCCTCCAAATCCCACGGGGGTGTTCCGGCCAAGGCGCAAGCCGCCTTGGTGGACACCGTGCGGTATCCGCGTATGGCTCTGACCGCCAATATTCTCTGGGGGCGCCAGAGGCGCGCCCTATTCGGGGCGGTCAGAGCCGCCACCCACACCGGTGCATCATACAGCGCCATGGACCGGACAACCCCCGCGTACAGCCGCCTCGTGGGAACACTGGCCCCGCCCAAATTGGGCAAAAGTCGCCCTAGGGCGGAGGCAGTGTCCACCAGCTTCGGACCAAGCTGTCGGAAGTGCTCGTCGAAGAGCCACCTACCGTCTAGGACCAGACCCAGGTACCTCATCTGGGCCCGGACCGGTACGAGGACCGAGCCGACCTCGATTGAGGCGCCGGCGGGTGGACCACGACGGGGCCCATGGTATAATAGGGCCTCCGTCTTGTCCAGGGCCACCCGTAATCCCAACGCCTCAATGCGCCCGACCACCTGGGAAACTCCCGTGGGAGCCAGGCGCGCCGCCTCCCGGAAGTTAGCCCCCCGGGCCGTGACTAAAGTGTCATCCGCGTAGCAGATGACACCCAGCCCGGGGGGGAGACGCCCTCGTAGGGCCCAGTCGTACCCGATGTTCCACAGGAGAGGTCCTAGGACAGACCCCTGCGGAACACCGCACGACATGGCCCAGCGTCTCAAGACGCCATCTCCGTCCTCGTACATGACGGTTCGCTCCTCAAGATAGTCTGCCACCAGGCGCCTCAGGTACTCCGGCACTCCGTGGTAGCGGAGCGCTTCCCTGATGCA